CTGTTTCATTAGCTAGTTTCTGTATGTTTTTATGAGGGTCTTCGCTGAGAATATTGCGGACATTCTCGACACACTTTTGTATCACCACTTCGCAAGGCCTCCCAGATCGAAGTTCATCTTCTAAGTGGCATCTCCATCATTAAATTTTAACCTAGTTGGTACTTCATGTCCACAAGCATTGGCTAATTTTTCATAAATTGTATTAACGTCTGTACCGTTTTGCCATTCGACGAATATATAGAAACGATATTGTTCACGCGAAAATTGAGCCATTTGTTTTAACGAACGAGGATATCTCGACAACCGCTGTTTCAAATTTGGTTTGTTTTGAAGATCGAAACTCTAGTTTTTATTTGGTTAGCGTCAATTTGTCTCAGATTTTCAGCCTGTAAAATGCAAGGCCCGCGGCAAAAACTTATTGAACGCCCCACGTACACTACCCCGATATTTTTGCCGTCCCAAATTCCCATATCGTATAATAATCTATTATTATCATATCTACATCCCTCTATTTACTGTTGCACAAATCTGTCTCTAATTTACTATTATTATTATGAGAGTATTACTATTACTACTATTACACAAACTGTCATGTTATTTCTATTTTTACGTCTTGTACAACTTTTCAAAAAATTGGCAAAATTATCAAAAACGATCAAGTCATCCGAATAGTGGTGAACATGCCGATCATGATTTTATATATGCTCCGGCGTCGTCTACTCTTATCGCAACCCCCTATTCTCCTATACGCCTTGGAATAATCCTTTTTCTTTAGCTTCCCTAAAGATCGTGTGAAGTTGGAGTAGCTCACCCCCCATAATAAGCATGTAATCAAGTATACTAGGAAAATGACAAGTTTGTCAGTATCTACTAACACTGAATTAAAGCTAACCGTAACAGTCTCTAAATACATGAGAAAAACGAAAAGCCCATTAATAAATAACAGCAACCCATCCTGTAGACCAAGTCGATCCTTTCGGTTTTGTTTTCGGAAATAAATACGTGAATTGTACTTTTTATGGTTCGATGTTGCACACACATAGCTAAGCACCCCTTTTTGTATGGTATTACCTGGCAACAATTTCTACTGACTCTACAAGATAAGGGTAATGGACACTCCTTTTTCTGAAAAATTGTTTCCGAGAACTATAAGATTGAATGAGCGTGCTATGTGGCGTAAAAATGCAAAGAAAATAGGACAAAAGATTCGGGATGTTGGCGTTCAAATATTTTTGTTAAAATTACGACAATAGATTTATTGATTATTAACCATACATGTTTTAATCGTAATTTTTAGCTGTCACTATTGTGGCTGGCAGCGAACGCATTTAAGAAATATCAATCCGACATATGAATAATGATAGAGTTAATTACGACAAGAGATTATTATTCATTATACAAGTTTTAGCCGCAGTTGTTGACTGTCACTATTATGGAATCGAGTTGAATTGCGACAATTTACTGATTATTAATCTGCAAAAGTTTTAGTCGTAATTGTCGACTATCACCATTGTGAACACATTTAAGATCATAAGTCTGATCTAACATACGAATAGCAATAAAGTTAACTTACAACAACAAATTTATTGATTATTAATCCATACAAGTTTTAGTTGACAGTCACTATTGTGGCTAGCAGTACAAGAACTTCTTACAGGCAGCGTAAATAAGTAATAACTGATTTTTTCTGGCATTTACATTTAATAATATCAGACAAATGATTGAAAACTTACAATTTTTATTTTCATTCGTTTTTTATATTATTTTTGTTTTGATCCAACGAATAGCGATTGAATGCTTGTCTTCCTAATACGCTGTCCGCGCAAAATTTTTTTCGACATTTTTTGTAAATTATTAATCAATGCCAAGCGCGAAAATGGCACAGATGATTCATATAATTGACTCATCCCTTTGTGGCAAACACGAAATAATATTATTCATATTCGATGAGCGCAGCATCTGGGTGGGATGAGAGACTACAAAAAGGAATACAACACGTACCAAAACTTGTAGAAGTGGCTGTGACGTTAACGAAGTGAATTTATTTTAAAGTGTTACGCAAGTTTTGTACTATGATATCGACTTTTTCTAAGAATACCATTACATATTGTCTTAACCAATGATCATTAGAAGCATATTAAAAAAAGTCACATGGCTCGAAAAAGTGATGAGTAATAGTGCTAATGTTTACTTTATTATACTGTAATAAATATGAAACCATAACATGGTTAATATAGGCGTATCTCTATATAACAATATAAATATGAAATTAATTCACATTAAATTTACTATGAAACCAAAGAATGTAGCACAATTGAAAGTATTTTAAAGAAAGAGCAAGGTAAAAAATTGCTCCATACGTTTTGAAAATCAATGGTTTCCAAACACATTCAGATAAAAAAAGTTGCTTATGAAATCTACCAAGAAGAGCAACAATAAGCGACATCACCGCCAACTTGTAATAAACCAAGAAAGTTGAAGCAACATAAAAAAAATTGCCACCAAGGCCTCCACTGATCGAGCGACCTATCAACAAAAAACTGTTTCTTATAGATTTGACTTGCTGATAAAGAACTGCTTGAGCGCGCATCAACACAATCGTCAAACTTGCATTGCAAAATTGTAATCAAAAGTTAAATTACATAATAACAATAATAAAACCATTTACCGATCTTTAAATATAAATGATACTAAAAGCATCAGAGTTAAGCATAAAAAAAAATACTCGGACCCAAAGCCATTTATGAGTATAACCTATTTTTTGGTGCAGATCTAAATTTTATTATCTCTCTTACAATCACTATATTAATAATCTTATTGCTACTATCTATCATTTCGTCATCTTCGTGGTTTACATTTCCTTTTCTTTGTCAATTTAATGTTGGTTTGTTTCAAATGTTTTTTTTCCACAAGATTATTCTTCAAAGATAAAAATTATTGTAGACGTAGCAATAAACTTTTATTCGGCGAGCAACTTATAAATTTCAAACGCCATCGCTAAATAAAAATTTGGATTTAATTTAATTCTTTTGTCGTATAGTTGGTTCAGATCTTTTCGATTTCTGGCGAGTAAATTGTTTGCCGCTGACGATTTTTAAATTAAGGCTCCCATATTATTAAACCGACCGGTACAGGTTATGACCATTAGCAAACAAATTTTCCAAAAAAATTTCGTTTTTGAATGAAGCATTTTTTGTAGCGTTATTGTTGAAATTGAGAACCCCGTTTTATTACTTTAAGGACACATTGTTTCAACAATATTTATTGCGTTGGGGTTGATTTCTGAGGTAAGTTAACCAGTGTTGTTTTTATAGAAAGTATCCTGTTGTTTATCATACTGTACACTACGATTGATTATTAGACAAACACGAATTTCTGCGCGTTGATTATTATTGGGCACATTCTGCGTACAAAAAAACAATCCCTTCGGATCTTTCGAATTACGTAAAAATGTTCGAGTCGGAACATCCAAGGGCATGTGGTACTTGTAAAACAATAAACAAATCGCGTGCCAAACAAATTTCACACATTCATTATTGTCACTACTCAAAGTAATGTTCTTCTATTTCAATGCTGCTGCCAAACATGAGTCTCCCACTTGTCGATCCCAAGCATCCTACTGACTATGTACTTAGACATGTAAGGCATCTTCAGTTTTTAGCATCACATTTCATCAACGTTTTATTATTTATCTCGTTTATATAACACTAGACATGCGCGTGATAATATGCGATAGAACTTATTTCCCCCATAATATTTCTGTAGCGAATAACAAAATGATACTTTTTCCGGTTTTTCTCAGAAAGCTACTCATCATTTGTCAAACACATTTTTTAGTGATATTTGGTTTATGTAACACCACAACAAAATCAATAGTCGCTTACTACGATTTTTAAACTCAAATAAGGATAGTATTGTCATTTTGCTTTGACGAGCGAAGGTGAGTATGGTCAATTACAGTCTCTTGCGTTGTGCTTAGCCTTACCGCTTTATTCACTTTAGTATAATACTAATACTAATACAAAAGGTGTACAGTTTTTTAACATTATAAATTGATGCAGATATGCTTTAAAAAAAGTTGTTAGATTGGATCTCTTCTCTAATAACCAAGAGGAAAAGGAACACATTTGTTCCACCTCGATTCAACTGACCTACACGTGTTCAACGTTCGGGACAAAAATATTGCTTACTAGAAGCAAAGATACTGTAGATTCTAAACTTTGCAATCGAACCATTTGCTGTTAAGTATAACTTAGTACGGACATTCATAAATTATATCCGATACTCTAAGATCAATAAAGGAGCGAATCCCCCAATAAATTTTTAATACAATTAAACATCGTACAAACTAATTGTTATATGTAAAATTTTTCCATATTAATATATTAACAGCGTTGAAATAAGAATAACTTGATAAACATAAAATTAATTCTTTAAAAACAATACTACTTCACGCAAAATATAACCCAACAAAACACTAAAATTAAGTATTGTACAGTACAACCATGACTCTTAATACGAAAACAAACCACGTCAATTAAAACCGTTAAAACCAATATTATGTGAAGCACGAACTTAGCAATCTAAGGCGCTTAAAACGATCCTTTCAAATCTTGAAGTGGGAGAGTCATTTCTTGCTCATTTTATCTGGTTCTAACAAATATAAAATACAACTTAGTAGGGTAGCGCGTTTGGGGTTGGACGGCCTTTACACCCGAGCGAGTCGTAGGGTGGTTGAAGCCCTCTGGTTGATAGATCAATCACTAAGACAATCCTTTGAAGAAATGGGTGTAGAATTCTTTCTTTATTTTTTGAATTCATAATTTTAGATTTTTTTTGGTGCCCCTAAAGGGTGAGGGTTCAAAATCATTGGCCGAACAAAAAATTGCTGGCCTCAAACTGCTGAACTGACTGGCGATGCGATGAAATTATAATTAAACCAATCAGAAATTATCAAATTTCCATTATAATTAGTGATGTCTTACAAAAACGAATTATTTCTACACAAAACTTCTATTTCCTCTTATCCTTACATTTTGTTCTGTTCCTAACACAATTTTAATTCCCTCGTCAAACCTTTTTCCATTCAAGAAAAATTCCTTACTTTCCAGAACAACATTGCTCGTACTTTTACTAGTAAAATGTTTCTTATTTCCTTTCCAATTCTTCTTGTATTCTTTTATGGAATCATCTTTCGCATAGTAGTATATTAGATACGGAAAGTAATCGTATCCTTGCCTTTGCTTTCGCGTGAGCATACACAGCTCCAATGTACATATGAACTATATATATGGGTCAGGTTAGTTAATGTTCAAAGAAAAGACGTCACTAATTATTCAACGTTTAAGCTTACCTCTGCTTTCTGCCTAAGCCAAGCACTTCTACCAGCAACTTTGGCATTACTTACAACATCATTCATAAAGGCAATCAAGATATTCAGTAATACAAATGCGGTTATTAACGAAAATACAATTGCCAAAACTGCAACTGTCGGATTGCCGAACGCATCACTAAGGGAGCCAAAATTTCCTGTCTATTAATGGCAAAAATTAATCAAGACATATCTACGCTACGCAATTTAACAAAAACTGGATGCTATTCTTAAGTTAATTACTTACCACGGAAAAAAAGACCGAAACGAATGCACGTTGAGGAGTCGAAAAATCGTTCATCACCGGACTATCACCTACCAAGTCCGTAACTTCCACGTAGGAAAACAACAGCCAGTATATGTGTGTGTATGCAACTACAATCATTGCAATAATGAGAAGAGGCCCTTGTACGTTTCTAAATATTTCTATCACAATAATTATTGGTATCCAAAACTTAGTGAATGCTCGGAATCGCAGAATCTATAATAGAGAACGACAGGTTCGGGTTAAATGATTATTCGGATGCAACATCAAACTAGATCAATTTTAAATGCTTACTAAATCAGCATAGGCAAAGAACATGGAGATGCCAACATATCCAGGTCCCCAGCTGCTTCCAGAAAATACCCCGACAGCATAAATCGTTGGCAATATAGTACTGACCAGGTCAATGATATTATACATGCCGAAATAATGAACGCGATATGCAATCATTCGCATAATCTCAAATACGATAAATATGAATCCGAGCACCAATACTATAATCGAGAACAATGGAATCAGATGCTTGATCACGTTCTTCCCCTGATCCACTCTGCCGGAATCGAGAGTAACGGCAACCATGAACGAAGCAAGATATAAGTAAAATAAACCAATAAAAATGAAATATCGCTTCCTAGCAAATTTCCTCCATTTGAAATTAATAATCGCTTCCATGGCAGGTTCGCCAAACATATGATGTTTGCCATGGAGAACCGCACTAGCAAATGGAGAAAGGTGATCAAGCCATTCGAATACATTAAGAAATCCGAAGGGGGATTCCGGTGGCTTCTGATACCGGGTAAAATTCGGCAAAGGGACCAAACATTCATGGTACAGATAACCGTCGCCGTTCTATTCAATAGTAAAAGAAGAATTAAAAAGATAATAATGTCATCAAGAAATGATAAGTTGTCTAGTCAAAAGTATATATAATCAGAATGTTAATATTACCCGATTTTCATTAATATCATATCTTTTTTCCCGTTCTGAGTAGGCAAAGCCCTCCAATTTATTATTGCTCCGTACAACGGGGGGCTCGTTAGATTTGAAGTAACTGATATTTTTCACCAATTCTAAAGCAATGTCAGGGTATTTTTCACACAGTCGACCGAATTCAGGAACAACAATTCGCAAATTATTCTCAAAGTTAGGCTCAACCAATTTCTCATTCAACGACGTCGCTCTCTCGCAGTAGTAGAGTAATAATGAACGGACGATATCGCCTCTACCCAACGATATAGCGTGAGAAAGGACTGACCAACTGTCAAAATCATCAATTATTGCTTTCTTCAACAATTCCTTAATCAAAGTATTGGTTCGTTCACAATCAAATCGCATTAACACCAACAATATTTTACCCCATGCCACTTTTGAATCGTTGTTTGAAGTGGCACCAATTGCTTTAGGCGGAAAATCCTTGTGCTCTGATTCGTCAGCCGATTCAGTGCTGCGAAATACATCGCCATTGGAAGACGAAAGGGCACGGTCGATGATCAATTTGCAGCCGTCAAGAAGCGTTCCATAATGTAGGTAGCCTTCGCTCGCCCATG